TCTAGAATGCACATATATGTTTTACCATCAAAGTATAGTTGTATGGTTAAACATCTTTCAAAGATTGTACGGTTCGACACTGATTCTACATTGCTAAATACCATTGTTTCCTTCTTGATTTTTAAAGATTATAGAACTTAGCGAGAGTTCTATTTTTGACTTCGCTCATTTAACTTATAGCCTAAATGCCCATATGAAAGAATAGTTTAAAGAATTCTAGACGGGTTAATTAACCAAAGTTTGTATGATGAGATGGGTTCTTCTCCAAAATATGAATTCTAGAATGCATATATATGTTTTACCATCAAAGTATAGTTGTATGGTCAAACATTTTTCAAAGATTGTATGGTTCGATTCTGATTCTATATTGCCAAACACCATTGTTTCCTTCTTGATTTTTAAAGAGAGCTCGGAGAGAGTTTTATTTTTGACCTAGCTCATTTAAGTTATAGCCTAAACACCCAGATGAAAGAATAATAATTATTTTACATTTATATGATGATATGGATTCTTCTCCCAAGTTAGAGTTGTGTTATACCAGAAAAAGTAGGGCTAACGTGGAGCCTCGTCAGTAAAGGATGGTCAGAGTTCAGAAGGGTTCTGCGTCGTCCAGGTGCGCCCACGTCGCGCCTAGCACAAGTGGCATGGCTCATGTCAGTGCAGCAGGTGAGTGCCAGGCCAGCAAGTGGCTGAGGATGGCCCACATGTCAAAGCCCTGCTTTAATCGAGGAAATCCCTCGGGCAGGTGATCAATGAGACGCAAAGAAAGGATTTGCACGACACCTATCAACTTGCAACTTTCATAATCATTACCTTGAACTTTCCCACTATAAATAGAGAATTTCCCTCTCATTTGTAAAGATTAGCTAATTTTACACTGAAATAGCTCTCTCTTTCTCTCTCTAAACTGTAACTCAACTCGCTGAATACGACCTGATCACTCTCTCTTATTAATACAATAGCAGTGGACGTAGGATTCACTTTAGAGTATCCGAACCACTTTAAATATTGTTCTTCACCTTTTATTTAATTCAATCCCCTCATATCACGTGTGATTTCTAAGTCATTTTAGCATTTTACACGTGCGAGTAGTTGGTGTCAAAATCAAGCATCAACAAGTTAGATTAGACATAATAATAGTTTAATTAGGAGTAATCAAATCCATATACATTAAAAAAATACATGCATGCATATGTACAACTAAGAGTAGTGGGAATAAAAATTTATACTAAAGTGTTTTAAGTCTTATACGTCACATTGGTGAATCTGAGTCCATTCCAACTAACTGGATTATTGATGTAACCAATTTCCTCATTGATAGTAACATTCTTAATTACTATTTTAATCCTCTAAAGATCATGAGTTGAGACTTGAAAGATAAGAGAATTTTGTTGAGATTTTGATTAGAGAGGTAGATTAGCAAGTTAAACAATTATTAACTAATTAAAAGGCGGTGTCCGTACATGATTGATCTTTTTGTAGAATCAAACTTTTCTCTACTTTTCCCTAACTCAAATTTTATTTTCTTTTTTCCAAATTTGATGAATAATTTGGTAAATAAAACCACCATTGGATGATCTAATGGTAAAAGAACAAAAGGAGGTTTATAAGCTCTTGAGTTCGAGTCTTCCCAAACACTAATACAGGTGGTCATTAAGACTCTTACATGGTCGACAGTTTCAGGGTCCTGAAAGATTAGTTGAGATGCACGTAAGCTGACCCGGACACCTCTGGTGATAATAAAAAAAAAAAATTTGGTAAACAAAATGATGTTATTTAATTTCTATATAAACTACATGTGGCATGACAGCCAATATATTCATGGTAGCTTTGGGTTAAATCATGTAATATAATAATAAATTGATAAATTCCATTGTCTTATCGATACCCAATACTAAAAAAAAATAGTTTTTTGTTGTCAATTATTTGAGTCGACACAATTAAAAGAAGCCGAAATGGCATATGCTAGCTATTGCTAATTTAACCAATTACTGAAGATAGTTGGTCCTTTCTATATTGATCTATTGCTACTTAAAATTATATATTAATTTAAATATTTGTAAGATTGGTGAAATCAACCATCAAAGTAATTAAATAATTAATACTCATTATATATCTCAAGCTAAGAGAATATTTCATTCAGGTTCCACCTTCACATCAACCTGTTTTTCTCTTCATACTCTTCATTAGAAGGGTTATTTTTAATACTAATCTCTTCTAATAAGTTATATTAATCCATTAATCTATGCATGCAGTATCAAGGATTCATAATTAATTAAATATATAGAGGTATCGACTTTTTCTCACCTACCACTTTACTATCCAAATTTATATTTCGGCGGTGAACAAAGAGTAAATTTGGTCCAGGCTATTGGAGCTTTTGAAGAGGGGAGACCGATAAGTCTATTGGTGGTGGAAGGTTGGATTTTGGTGGTTGGGATTGATTGGAATTTGACTTGGGAGGGGTGGTTACGCAAACCCTAATCGCTTGGTTGTTGGTGATTCGTGGGTCGGTCGGAGTAGGGTTTGAAGGGTTTTATGAGTGATGATTAGAGAAGAGAATGATGGTGGTGTGGGGTCACAACTTTAAGTAATTGATCTATCATACGCAGTGAAAAACAAAAATTCAATCGGTAAATCAATTACCTTTCTTTGCCTATAGATTATACCGTTTACATGTTTATAAACAAAAATCTGTATAAAGTAAATTCATTTAAGGATTAGAATACTTACGTACGTTTGGAGGCTCCTTCGAATATCTCTGATTTCGGACAGGAACACTGTTCACAATTACTGTTCATCGTCTACTGTTCACGGTTACCGTTCATCGTCTACTGTTCACTGTCTGCTGTTCATGTGATTTTTCGCCAATCGATCCAAAGTAGGATCGCACTCACGGAAGTCTACACGAAGATAATCTGCAGAACCCTTGATTATTTTACTAGAACAATCAAGGGCTTCAAGAATCAAGAAAGAAGAACAAGAAAAGTTTTATTCTTGAGAGAGATAGAGATGGGTGGCTAGGGTTTTAATTGAATGAATAATTCCCCTTTGTTTTAATTTTAAGTTGCACTTATATAGTGCAACAATTAAAACCCTTATTCTAGGAATAGCCATGGGCTCCAACCCTAGTTCACCATTGCAACCAAACACACACTTTATGGTATTTTAATTAATTAATTATTATTATAATTAAAATCAATTAATATATAATAATATATTAACATTCAATTAATAATAATAATTTATTTAAATATATACATAAATATATTTAAATATAATCTCACTAATTTAATTTTAATATTAAAATTAAATACAGGCAACAATCTCAGCAAATTTAATTGCACTACCAAAATACTCTTTCGTCCTGAAAGAAGAAAATACCCTTATCACAAATTAATTCTTAAATTATCTTCTAAGTGTGACACTCATAAGCTCCTTATCATATCAGCAGTTAGTAGTATCGCGATTAACACCAATTAATCGTTTCACTACACACAGACCAAGATTGACCCCTAGCAAGGCATCATGGCCCCTCGATAGATTCGGATTCAGTGAAACCGTAGCCTGTCAATGGTATGGTTATCGTGCAATCAAATCCTTTCATCAACTGTTATCTCATTGAGACTGAGGTACAGAAAAAGTGTCAACCTTAGATATCCTTGACATGTTTGTATTCAGTTACTAGACCAATGCCAAGAATATTAAATTGGATTGAGCATCAACTCAATCTCACTATGGCCACATATTTAGTGTCATTGTCATTTATTGAATTACTCAGTGAGATAACTTCTCCCGTACCCAGGAGTTATGAATCATTTGTCGATCTACCATAGTCTCGATACATTTCTCAATGTAGCCAATCACTACCGCATTGATAGCTCTGAATAGAACTACGTTGGGCTAGCATCAAACTACACCAATTGGTGCACAAGGTGCTCCGGTGATCTCAAGTCTAAGGATCACATGCACCACCATTCGTAAAAGGATTTATTCCATAGACACTGGGGTTACCATCCATATGGAATCCTCTGGTGGGTCTGTCCAGTGAACTTGCCTCTAGAAGCACCCATGCGTTGCACCAGGTTGTCGGCAAACAACTTTAATAAGTGAGATCAGTCACTGCCTTTTGACAGGGTCGTTCAACACTATGATAGCCTTACCGTATTATCTGTGTCATTGGTCAGAATAATACTGGGGCTACATACGTTTCTAGAATAGCCACCATATGTGATCATAGTGTTCTCACTATAAAGATTTGAAACACTTGATACCCTCGTCACGGTTCTACCATCCTAAGGACATATATCATTGCATACACGATATAGAAGAATATGCCTTTTATTGATAAATAAACATTTATTACAGAATCAATTTTATAATAATTGATTGGCTCTATGACACCTAATGTAACAGCAATAATGCTGAAATAGGAAATGGAATATAAATTTGGGTAATAAAGTGACATTTTAAAAGTCCATGGATTAAAAAATGTCATCATTAAGCCATTATTCGGGTGGACAAAAGTCGTTTACTCTAAATATATAAGTAAACTTAACTTTATGTTTTTGTTAAGTAATTAAGATTAATTATATATTAATAGGAATTAAGCCTAGACAGAATCTTGGGGATGGAGTAAATAAAACGCTATAAGATCAGTTTCGTTTAACACACACACACACACACACACACACACACACACACACACACACACACATATATATTATATATACTTAGAATCTTCATGTGTAGTTCATGAACAAATCCCATCTGATATTTTTATTTTTATTCAATTTTTTAAGATAACCTATCAGAATCAGAATGCCTATCTCCCAATTCCTACACATAAAGAAATGTAATATATTTATATATAGATATTTTTTATTTCCATGGATTAATTTAATTAGATTCTGAAATCTCCCTTCTCTCCTCTATTCTCTCCACTATATAAACCCTTCTTCCCTTTCATATTATTGCACGATCAAACTTACAACCTTTCAACTTTCTCTCTCCCCCAACTCTTCTTTTCTTTCCTTTCCTTTCTCCTACATTTTCTTTTTCTCATCAAATGGAGGGAAACCAGCAACTTCGTAGACAACTTGCAGCCATGAGACAGTCCCTCTTTGATCAGGTTTCGTTATAATAACTCCTTTTCTTCTTCCTCTTCTTCTTCTTCTTCTTCACATTTTTGTAACATGCACTTACAAAAGTTTCTCTTCATTTCAAGCCACATTAATCATAAATAAAATTTTCTAACTCTAGATCTTTCTCTCTTCGGAGCTGCATTTATCAACATATTATTGTGTTTGTACGACTGGAAGAGAGCATGCACAAGTTTTCTATTTTAAACAGAGTATGAGAGTAAAAGTCTTTTCAGTTAAAACTTTTTGTTTTTTCGTGTTTGTAATCGACTTGACAGTTGAATTTAGCTTGTTCTAGTGCATGTTATATGTGAGAGGTTCTGTTTATATATAATTTTCTTTGAGTTTGAGACGGGAAAATGATTTTTTGGGGGCATTTTCAGGGATACCTTGATGAACAGTTCATCCAGTTGGAGGAGCTTCAAGATGATGCTAACCCCAGTTTTGTAGAGGAAGTTGTCACATTGTACTACCGAGATTCCGCCAGGCTAATCACTAGCATAGACCAGGCACTGTGAGTTTATGATAAAACATCAATCTTCTCTATTAATTTCAATACTAATAAATAAATTAAACACTAATTAATGTTGTCAAATTATTTGCAGGGAGAAGAGCCCTCTTGATTTTAACAAGTTAGATGGCCATATGCATCAGTTCAAGGGAAGCAGCTCAAGGTAATCAATTAGTTAATTAGTTAAATTAATATTGGTGATTATTATAAATCAATATATCTAATAATAAAAAGTGTATCTATCAAGTATATTCTTTGTCGGTTTTTATCACAACAACTTCATAAAAACATTCTTTCTTATTGGGTGCAGCATTGGAGCCAAAAAGGTGAAAGCTGAGAGCACACAGTTCAGAGAATATTGCAAGGCAGGAAATGGAGAAGGGTAATAATAAAAATAATTATTTTTTTTATTTTTATAATCGGGGTGTTCCTGTCAACTTGTGTGTACCTCAACTAATTCCTTGAAATCTTGGAACTATCAACTGGGCAAGAGTCTTAGTGGTCACCCCTATTAGTGACCGAGTGAATTCGAACTTAGGAGCTCATGAAACTTTTTTTATTATTATTATTATCAAGCCATCTAGTAATGGTTAAAATTATAATAGTTATTAATATTAATCACCTGACACTCCTAGAAATTGACAGCTTTTTTACCTGTGTGTTTGCGGTTTGCAGAAGTAGAAGGACTTTCCAACAACTGAAGAAGGAATATGCAACACTGAAGAAGAAACTAGAAGCTTATTTTCAGGTGGCTGAGCTGAACCCTGTTTGTGTTTTTTTTACCCAGAAAAAGCAAATTATGCGTTTTTAACTGATAAAATTTGATGTTATTCAGCTAGCAAGACAAGCAGGGCCTATGGAGACTGCTAGTGGTCGGAAATAATTAATTGCAGAAGGGAGGGCAATGAAAATCTGAAACGTTGTTGTTGAAGTTTGTGCTGTGTAGTGTATGAGCAGCAGTACAAATGGAGCAGTTGAAAGCGCTTTTGGGTTGAGTTGATGACTGATGTTAATCTATGTATTAGATTTGGTTTCCTGAATGAAAGTTTTGCTGTGTGTGTTGGGCTTCTCAGTTTCAGAAAAAGATCATAAAAAGCCCTGTAATGAAAACTCAGTTCAATACTTCAATTATATGCTCTGCTTCTCAACTAGTAATTTCTCTCCTCCTTGTTTAATTCACAATAAATCATGGTGATCCCAAACCAAAACCATTACTTGTTTCTGTTTCTAGGTTTGACTTATTATCTTGAGTCATTACAAGATATATACCTTAAACTTTTAGATCAAATAGTCTTTTAATATCGTTTTTATGAAATTTAAGCAATTGCGATCATTTTTTTTACCTATAAAAGATAAATGAATAATTTTTCATTCTCTGTTCCATGACGATGAAAAAACTTTCCTATAATAGATGTATATACAACCAAACAATCATGAAATGTAGACGAATTTTCCAAGGAAAAGTGTTCATTGTTTATGATCGATTTCTTCGGTCTGGCTCTTCTTTTAAGAACCAAACTGAAATCTCTCATGAATTTTCAAACCGCAGAAACTTGCATTATATTTCATTTGTTATTATGTTATTAACTTCTAATAGCTACATGTAATTATATATGTCACTTCCCTTTATATAATTATTGATCAAACTTTGAGTTATAATATGATTATGCTTGCATATGATTATCGAAAGACATAAAATTCTATTTGATTATAATGAAAGAAAAAAAAAAAAAAAACCCCTTTAGTAATCACTAATAATAGAGACATCTTTTATTGAAATATAGTATTTCATTGAAGATTTCAAGTCAACAACCCCAATTATTGGGCATTCAATAAACTTAATATACAAACTGTTTACACAAAAGAGAGTCTTCTATACAATAAATATACGTGCAACTAAATTAATTAATTATGAGATGAGTACAAATCATACACATTAACGTGACATTTCATGATTGTTTGGTTGTATATACATCTATTGTAAGAAAAAAATTTCATCGTCATGAAACTGAGAATGAAAAATTTTTCATTTATCTTTTATAGGTTAAAAAATGATCGCATTTGCTTAAATTTCATAAGAACGACATTGAAAGACTATTTGATCTAAAAGTTTTAAGGTATATATCTTGTAACGACTCAAGATAATAAGTCAAACCTAGAAACGGAAACAAGTAATGGTTTTGGTTTGGGATCACCATGATTTATTGTGAATTAAACAAGGAGGAGAGAAATTACAAGTAGTTGAAAAGCAGAGCGTATAATTGAAGTATTGAACTGAGTTTACATTACAGGGCTTTTTATGATCTTTTTCTGAAACTGAGAAGCCTAACACAAAGAGCAAAACTTTCATTCAGGAAACCAAATCTAATACATAGATTAACATCACTCATCAACTCAACCCAAAAGCCCTTTCAAGTGCTCAATTTGTACTGCTGCTCATACACTACACAGCACAAACTTCAACAACAACATTTCACATTTTCATTGCACTCCTTTCTGTAATTAATTATTTGCGACGACTAGCAGTCTCCATAGGCCCTGCTTGTCTTGCTAGCTGAATAACATCAAAAACAACATCAAATTTTATCAGTAAACTCTATTTATTTATGACAAGTTATTAACAAATTGAATGTGTATGAGTGTATTATATATGTAATTTGGGGAATTCTGTTGGAGTTGGCGACCACTTCAACAATAGAGGTCGCAGCTGCTTTGCACGTCGCTCTCGGGGTTTGTAAGTGGTTTGGGTTTATACCATGTATAATCGTGGTAGGATTCTCTAAGGATTATAACTTCTAATAGGGTTGAGCTTAGGGATAAGGATCCTAGTTGTATTATGTCTCTCTTCATAACCTAGTCTATAAAGACATTATTTTCTTGTATAAGTGATAGAAAAATCATAACAAATACATTCATTGTAATGAAAGAACTGAGTCAATATTTTAATAATATTGATTTTATTGAATGTAGGCCAGTTTTGGGTGAACTATAATACATCGTGCATGTTTTCATTCTCTTTACTGGTTTGATAGTTGTGTGTGATTATTTATTTCTTTGATTGCAAACGCTCTTTAGTTCTTTCAGATTCAGTGTACTGTTTGATTCATTAGGAGAAAAGGGATGAGTTTTGACAAATGGATATCATATATAATGATTATTTTCAAGTAAACAAAACGATTTTAGAAAAGAAAGTTATACCCTAATCAACAACTCTCGTAACTTTATAAAACAATAGTGGCGGTTAGATTTTGTTTCAATCCATTAAGATCGAGGAAAATTAGTGAAGAAAACCTTATTCATTTTATTTTTAAGGTTAAGAGTGGAGAAAAATATAACCATGGCATGATATCTCTGTTGAAGTCTCACATCAATTAAGCACGCTCAAGCCTATTGGATTATAAGAGAGGGTAATTCTTCCATTTAATAAGACCTTATTGGATGAGGAGTCAGGTCCACCTCAAATTCTATCATGATATTAGAGGCTTGGTTCATTTGAGTTGAGCGCTTTAACTAGCGGGTGAAGAGTTAGAACCAGTAACTACCTCTATCAACAGGCATGATTCAATATATGGGTTTGATCGTGAGAGTGTGTGTTGAAGTCCCACATCAATTAGGCATGCCTATTGGGTTATAAAATGGGATAATCTTCCCATTCAACAAAGTCTTATTGGCTGAAAAGTCAGATCCATCTCAAATTCTATCAATCTCCTAACATTTTTGTTTCTTCATTGTGCTATAATGAACAGTGATCTAAAAGTTATTTGCTGTGTAAGTTCACTTATTCTTCCAAGAATATAGAGTTGAATCTAGAATTATATATATAACCTACGAATTTAATGAATTAAACAAAAAGACGGTGAATATTAACAAATAGAATCTGTATATTATTTTGCTACTCTCAAGATTGTTATTAGAACACAATCTATATAGTATAGCTTAACAAGAATCATATCAAACATTTCTTATATTTGTTTTCAAAATTTATCAAGAATGGATCCTAGAACACAACCTTTTCAATGTTTAATTGATTGCATTTAATTCACCACCATCTAGAGTATAATGGACAATATATATATATATATAAGATTATTATTTTTTTAAATTATTGATATCAAACAATCTATATTATATTTTGTAAATACATTGTAGAATCTTATTACCTCAAATGCAAAATGAGTTATAATGAATATCCGTTTCTACTGAATTGGACTACATTTTTACCCATGTACTAGGCCCAAAACTAAGCCCGTTCTTTCTCCGCAGAAACGTCAATTAACTGTTAACTAACAGTCGGGAATTGCAGTTGCAATTAACTAACGGCTGTAACGGCAACATTTCATAACTGTTAACTAAAGGTGTGTTGAAATTAACGTTTAAATAACGGTAGATTGGCGTTATCGTTAACTAACCAAAAGAACCATTGCCTGTAAGTTTGAAACTTTATTTTTACCAATAAGAAAGGTTACTTCTCCCTTGCCATCTTCAATGTATGAAAGATTCAGAGAATCTAAACCATCTTCATGGCTGTAGTTTCGAAGAAGAAATATTTGAGACCTTGTGTGATTGAGTTTTCTTGTTAAAAGTTTAATAATGTAGTTGTTGTTACTAACAACAGGCTTTAGAGAAATTATTCAGTGCTTTTGGAACATTGTGACTCTTGTTTACAAACTTTGATTTCACGCTCTCCTCTTGTGGTTCGAATGTCAAATCCTTTAGCCACTTTAGTTAACTATAGCCAAGGGATTCTCTTGTGATCGGATGACAAATCTTTTAACCATTAAAGTTAATTATACTTTAGATAAATTCAATTTTCGAGTCCGTTTTACCTGAAGAAGGAGCAAATGATTCACGGTGATTGAACGTGTAGACAGTTTTCAAACACAAGTTTGCTCTTCATTTAACAATTTCCATATGTGCTTTCTCTTTGTTCTGCTTATTTTAATTTTCGGTCTATTTTTTCAACTTGATTATGAAAAACAAACTAATTCTTATTTTAGTAAAATTTGAGTAGAATATTTCTTGTGGGATGGACCATTGATGGTAATGGTGGCCAGAAATTTTGGCTAAAGACAGTTTGTGAGCATGACTCGCGAGGAAGAGATGTTGAACTTTTTCGCCTGCACTTATACTCAAAAGGGAAAGTGGGTTGCATCTCTAAGGGAAGTCCAGCGGCGTCGGAACTATAAGACGGCCGTGTGATCAAAGAAGCGTTTTTTGCTACCCCATCTTCATTCATTTCTTAAAAGTGCAGAGATTTTATTGTTTAGTAATGGCTGGTAAATTTGAGTAATGAAACTTAGTGAGGCATTATTGTTTTAAAATTGTTTAATTCACTGGAATCTCTGCATCAGGCAGACGGCCGTCTTCGATGCGTTAGCACTGGATAAGGAAGGCTAATTCATCAAAGACATAGTGATGGGGTTACTCATTCTGTTCAATGTCATTTCCACAAGGTCTTTGAAGGCTAACACTTGTTTTATCAATAGAAGAAGCCACGCCCTTTATGCATGAAGATTAAGGAGTTTCATGAGGTGTTACTAGCTAAGCTTAATGGTAGCTAGGCACTAGGCAGAACATATTTTTGAAAAGTAAATTATGTCTTAATGGCTTTTGATAAGTTTCTAACCAATGGTACGCCTTAGATATATGATTTTATGTGTTATATATGTAATATAGTAATTCATTTAAGTTAGTATGAGATGCTCACAAATTATTGCAAATAGAATGTGTATGAGTGTATTATATAAGTAAAATGTGGATTCAGTGAACCGAACGGTTCACTATCAGAAAAGTAATAAGTTTTGACAAATGAATATCATACATAATGATTCTTTTCAAGAAAATAAAAATCATGTAGGAAAGAAAATTATACCCTAATTAATGGTTCTCATTACTTTATAAAACAAGATTGATTATTGAATTTTTTTTTTTTTTTTCACCTGTTGAGACCGATGAAGATTAGTAAAGTTTTTTTTTTTTTTTCACCTGTTGAGACCGATGAAGATTAGTAAAGAAAACACTGTTTATAACATTTATGTGTTATTTATGTAATATAGTATTTCATTGAAGGTAGTATAAGATGGTGACAAGTTATTGACAAATAGAATGTGTACGAGTGTGTTATATATGTAATCTATGGATTCAGTGAACCGTCCAGGTAACTGACAAAAAAAAAAAAGTAAATTTTGACAAATGGATATCATGCACAATGATTCTTTTCAAGTAAACAAAACCATTTTACCAATGAAAATTGTACTGCTCTCATAACTTTATAAAACAACAATGACCGTTGGCTTTTCTGTTCTTCTGTTAAGACCAAGGAAGATAATTGAAGAAAACCATATTTATAGCATTTATGTGCTATTTTATGTAATATAGTATATATTTTAGTGAAGGTAAAATGAGATGAGACAAGTTATTTACAAATGGAATATGTGTGAGTGTATTATATATGTAATCTGCGAATTCAATGAACCGTCCGGTTCATTGACAGAAAAACGGTGAGTTTTGACAAATGGATTCTATGTGTAATGATTTTTTTTAGGTAAAGAGAATCATTCTAGGAAAGAAAATTATAACCTAATCAACGACTATCATATCTTTGTATAACAACAATGGTCGTTGGATTTCCTCCACTAAGACTGAGAAAGATAAGTGAAGAAAACCCTATTTGTAGCATTTATGTAATATAGTATTTCAGTGAAGGTAGTACGAGCTATTGACAAATGGAACATGTAAGTGTATTATATATGTAATCTGTGGATTCGTCGAACCGTCTGATTCATTAATAAAAAAACGGTAAGTTGACAAATGGATATCATGCACTAAATTCATTCCAAGTAAACAAAACCATTTAGGAAAGAAAAGTTTACACAAATCAACAGTTCTCATAACTTTATAAAACAACAACGTCCGTTAGATTTTCTTTTCACCCGTTAAGACCGAGGACAACCAGTGAAGAAACCCCTTTTTATTTCAATTCTAAGGGTAAAAGTGGAGAAAGATATAACCATAGCATAATCTCTCTCAACATTTTTGCTCTATTCATTGTGCTAAAATGGACATCGATCTTAGAAATCTCTCTCTATGTAAGTTCACTTATTCTTTTGAGAATACACGATTCCATTTAGAATTATTGTTCAAATATATATATTGCATATGAACTAAGGATAATAAATTTATCTATTGATTGTTCTTATGATGTTCTTCATACTGTTAAAATGTTAATGAATATTATAAATGTTACATCATATTTTGTCAATCTTGTTCCATGGATTGAATCTTGTTTAGATATTTTAGCCATTATACCATTAGTTCATCACCATCCTCTTTTGTATTTCAAAGAGTATTGTTGGCTTTAGTTTTCTCTTTGTAAAAATTTTAATAATTGGTTTGTGGCCGGATGACAAGACATTAGGTTATTCAAAAATCTTTCAATAGACTCTAGGGATTAATTGATCTATACGTAAGTTAGTTTGAACAATTCCAACCACAAAAAAAAAAAATAATAATAATAAATTAATTAATTAAATAACCGATTGGATTTGAAACATTTATTATTTCATATTTTTATATACTTTTTAAAGATGTCATAACTAAATTTTAGGAAGGTGGATTAGATTGTGAAGTCTTTTTTATTGAGCATAAATTTTCAAACATTATAGTTATCAAGTTATAAAAAAGATATGATGAGATATAATAAATATTTTGAATTAATTTTTTTTTACTTATAATATTACATTATTTCTTCTATTTCTGAAACATATTTATTCTTCTATTCCTTTTTTTTTTCATATTAATAAATTCCGATATTATAAAAAATTTATTATTATTCTTTTTAATCGCACTGATAATTTTTTTTTTTTTAAATCTTTAGTTGAATAAAAAACAAATTAATTAATTGTGATAATTACTAGATTCTCAAAAACCAACCTGACAGATTATAAATTAAACACAAATTGCCATAATTAGAATTTCAATTAAGATAAACAGCCAAGAAATTGAATTAAAAAACAGCTTACCATAAGTACAAACCCGAAATATCGCTGAATCTCGGTCCTGAGAACTGTGTTTCGGCCGATATTTCCCGATAAACCAGAATCTAAACAAAAAGAAAACCAGTACCTGACCTGTAAAATGAATCCAAAGTTCACAGAAATCAATGTGCTCCCATCACACTTAACATGTTTCTTCATATAAAGACAAACAGACTCCTCTGTTTTTACACACTCTGAAAGTAACTGAAACTCTTTGAATGTGTATATAAACGCATGTTCTATTTTGGTCTTTCACTTCACTTCAAATCTTCTTTTTTGTTTAGAGAGAAATTTTCTATAAGTTTTGTTTTTTATGGGTTTTTGTTGGTCTTGTTAATCAGCAATCGCTTTAATTTGATAACTTGATTTTGTTCTTGCTTTCGGGAAGTTTTTGAATTTTATTTTTGGGGTCAGTGAATTTTTAATTTTGTTTATTTTGAGCAGTGTGAGAGAAATTAGAATCTGGGGTTTTGAATTATTTAGAATTCAATCAAGAAGAGTTGAGAAAACCCCAGAAAATTTTTGAATCACTTTGTTCTCTCCTTTAGGGTTTTGTTCTGGATTTGGAGAATTAAGATTCGTTTAGGTTTTTGAGTTTTTTTATTCTGTTTTTGCTTGTTGGGTTCTGGATTTTTTAATTAAAAAAAAAAAAAAAAACTTAATCTTAATTGTCTAGATTTGAAATTTTGATTTATATGGCGTCATATAGACCATTTCCACCACCACCACAATCCTCGTTTCCACCGCCACCGCCGCCGCCGAACCAAAACCCTACTCAACCTCCACCACCTCCACCACAACCGTCATCAACACAACAACCACAGAGGCCAAATCAGTTCAATCAGAACTGGGGTTATAATGGCCAAATGCCTCCACAACAACAACAACAAAATTATCCTCCGTCAAGACCACCTCCACCACCACACCAACAATACCCTTATGCTCAGCCACCGCCACCACCGCCCCCGGAGTCATCCTACCCCCCTCCACCCCCACCTCCTCCTCCACAACAACAACCACAGCAGCCTCCAATGTATTATCCATCTAACCAGTATACACAAAATTCTATGTATAATCTTCAACCACCAATGCAGCCATTGCAACCACCACTTCCACCTCCACCACCTTCGTCTCCGCCCCCTAGTTCCTCTATCCCGCCACCACCACCTCCCAGTTCTCCTCCACCACCACCTCCTCCTAAGGAGATTGATGGTGGAGGTTCGCGACTTGATCGTGATAAAAGGGTGCCTAAGGAGGTTTCTAGGCGTGATTCTCGTGATCACGGGCATTCGAGGCAGCACAAGCCTCCGGTGCCACCACAAATGGTTAAGAAGGTCAGTGGAGGTTCAGGGAGAGTAGAGACGGAGGAGGAGAGGAGGATAAGGAAGAAGAAGGAGTATGAGAAGCAGAGGCAAGAGGAGAAGCATAGGCAACAAATGAAGGAGTCTCAGAATGCAGTAATGCAGAAGACTCAGATGATGACTTCTGGGAAAGGAGGCCATGGGTCAATTGTAGGGTCAAGAATGGGGGATAGGAGGGCTGCTCCATTTTTGAGTGGTGAGAGGATTGAGAATAGGTTGAAAAAGCCCACCACGTTCTTGTGCAAGTTGAAGTGAGTATCGATATGTCTAGTATGTATTCTGCTGTTGTGTTGTGTTTTGTTTGTGTACTGTTTGGAGCCTTCTATTTTCACAAGTTGCACGAAAATATATATTATAGTGGATTTATATCGTGAAAAACAAATCAATCTGCATTAGTTATGCCATAGCGAGGGTGTGTGGTGCATTCTTACCTGTTGAATGTTGTATTTGTTATGAATTTTCACTAATGAATTATGGAAGCTAGATTATAGCAACATGATATGTTGGGCAAGCATCATTAGTCTTTAGCAAGTTTTTACTTTGTTCTCTTGTACCATTGACATGCTGTTTTAACCCCTGAACTCTTATGTAGATTCCGTAATGAGCTTCCTGACCCAAGTGCACAGCCAAAGCTTATGGCTTTGAAGAAAGACAAAGATCGGTATGCAACATTTCTTAATTATCTTGACATATTGGTGCCTTTCATGTGTGTATAAAAATTTAATTATAAGTTTTGGGCCATTTCTACTTAAGTTACAGCAGTTATGTTATTTTGTGCTCTGATTGACAAAGTTTATATCTGATTGGAACATGTTTGGTGGTGAGGAATTTAATGGACAATTAGAATTACTTTTCTATATTTTTATGTTAACTGATCAAAATTATCCAAGAATTATTTGTCACCAAGAAGAGATGACATGGATAAGGCAAATGAAGGCCAGATAAATTCATACGGCTGGTAGCATGCGTTGAATGACAATGTTGAAGGCTAGAATATGGAAGACTTGAAACAAGCCTTTGTCCTCTTGAAGTTGCAAAGATCGAGGGAAAAAGTTTAGTTTGTTGTCATCATGTGTCCAGATTCATATTCTGATTTTATTGTGTAATAATGCCATGTTCATCTTCTTATGCAGATTTACAAGATACACAATTACATCTCTGGAGAAAAATTACAAGCCCCAGCTGTATGTTGAGCCAGATCTTGGGATACCTCTTGACCTGCTTGACCTTAATGTTTACAAGTATTATCTCTTACCAGTTTAAACTTGTTTAAGAATCTCATAATTTTGCTGTCATGACAGTCCTGATTGTTGTATTTCTGCTTGTTTAATTAGTCCTCCCAAGGGCGTCAGAATACCTCTTGCTCCAGAAGATGAGGAGTTGTTGCGTGATGATGATGTGGTTACCCCAGTAAAGAAAGATGGTATAAGGAAAAAAGAGCGGCCGACTGATAAAGGTGTTTCTTGGCTGGTTAAGACTCAGTATATCTCTCCTCTTAGCATGGAATCAACAAGACAGGTACTTGATAAGTACACTGTTTTATATCTGATATTTTTTTGACAAATATTAATGAAAGCTTTGCCGTAACAAAATACATTGGTTTTTGCAGTCTTTGACTGAAAAACAAGCAAAGGAACTGAAAGAGATGAAGGGAGGCCGGAACATTTTAGATAACCTTAATGATAGGTCTGTTCTATCCAAACCTGTCCATTGAATACATTATTGGACCGTAAAAGAATTATGAGGGAACTTTCCCTTTTTTTTATTGAAAACGTCAAATATTTTTTCAGGGACAGACAGATTAAGGACATTCAAGCATCATTTGAGGCATCAAAGCTGCGCCCTATTCATGCAACCAATAAAGATTTACGTCCTGTTGAGATTTGGCCTCTGTTACCTGATTTTGAGAGGTATGAACAATTTTGTGCCTTTAATTTTTTTGTCTTTTCTTTAGAGCAATCATTGTCAATTCAAGCTTGATGAAGCTTCATAGTGAGTTAGTTTCTTTTCTTTTATTGGAAAGAATATATAGAAACCGGGACTACTGGTGAATTCAATATTTCCGTAGCTTGTGTTGTTTTGAATACAAGGCTGATTGAACTGTTTTCATCAAGCATGTGCTCTTCATAAGTAGAATAATGCTCTAAATTAACTTAGTGTTTGTTGAATGGAAAATTATTTCTCCAGTCATAATAGACGATTTTGCTGTTGGCTGATTGAATATTATTTTCAAATTTTAGTCATTGATGATTATACCACATTACATCATGTTCGTAATAACTTTGAGCCTTGTGATGCTATTTTGCCAGGTACGATGATCAATTTGTTGTGGCTTTATTTGATGGTGTTCCAACAGCAGATTCAGAAATCTACAGCAAGTTGGACCAGTCTGTCCGTGATGAGCATGAATCACGGGTCAGTTATATATGGAACGGTTTTGTAGCATAAATGTATAACAGTGATGGTTCATTAAAAATTATTCATGACAAAGCGTAGGCTTATTTATTTAAGCATTAAGCTTTATCAACTTAAAATTTGGACTTAAATTTTTAATTGTAATTTTTAGCCATCAATTCATTAAAATCCAATAGTTTATGAGTTGCTAAGGTGGCAAAGAAAATAACTACCTTTAACCTCCACATATCTATTTGATTGCAATATATCCATAGACAAGACTTTGTGTCCCAATTGAATTCAAGATTTTAAATGACTATATCTCATATTTGCCTTTTTCTAATCTTTTCCTAGATGGCTATGATACTATATTGATCATCTATTCTTCTTGGTATGTGTCAGGCTGTTATGAAAAGTTATGTGGCAACAGGTGCCGATCCAGCTAACCCAGATAAATTTCTGGCATACATGGTCCCTTCCATAGATGAGGTAGATATTGCTTGTGTAAACTTGCACATTTTGGCGTGGAACATTTCATAGAGTAATATATGTCCTGCTAAGGCTACTTCATTATTAATTACTTGTATCTTTCTGGTGGCAGCTATCGAAGGATATGTATGATGAGAGTGAAGATGTCTCATTTTCTTGGGTTCGCGAGTATAATTGGGATGTACGTTCATTGATTCTAATCATTCTATCTACCATATTAGCATTTTACTTGTTCGTGAATTGAAAATGATTGATCGCTATATCTTCTTTCCAACAGGTGCGGGGTGATGATGCCGATGATCCAACATCATACCTCGTTTCATTTGATGATGACGAAGCTCGCTATGTGGTATACACTCAAATAGGATTTATGTTTCCATTGCACATGTTTTCTGTTGGTAAGATTTGTGGTTCTTACACTTCTCAAAATGATGCAGCCTCTCCCCACAAAACTTAATTTGAGAAAGAAGAGGGCCAGAGAGGGGAGATCTAACGAGGATGTTGAGCATTTTCCTGCACCTTCAAGACTGACTGTAAGGCGGCGATCAAGTGTCGCTGTAATAGAACTGAAGGATGCTGGGGTATGGTGGAACTCTATATTTAAGTTCACCTTATACATTAGATTTTAGTTTTGGGATGTGTTTTGACATATTGATGCTACTTTCAGGCTTATTCAAACTCAAAGGGGACCAGCTCAAAGATGGCAAGGTTAGATACCGAAGATGGGGTGGGAAGATCACGAAAGCTCTCGCGGCACCAAGATCTGTATCATTCTAGTGGAGCAGAAGATGACTTATCTGATTGAAGGCTATCGATACTGAGGGTACCTGGAAGGAAAATTTCCAAAATGCTATAATCTGGAAAATGTATCCGATTTGGAAGGTTGGAATACACAGACATTATATCATAATGCTGATCGGCTTAGGAGTGATCAGGGTCTAGTTTATTGCTGGTCAGCTTAGGAGTGCTCAGGGTCTAGTTTTATTTAATTAGATTTATAAAGGTTTAACTAGATCCCGATTACTCCCAGACGACCAGCTACAAGATATAATTGGCTGAGTATTTCGTCATTTCAAATAGGATACATTTTCTCGATTATAGCATTTTCTTGATATTAGCGGGTGTTAATTTATTTAGGCTCCTCCCTTCAATACCATAAGGAAAAAAATGAAGTGTAAACTTGGTTGAACATAAGAGAAATCTTGTTACGGTGTCATAGTGAGAATGTTCATCTTTGAAACAAACAAGTATTTTAGCAATGAATATAAGCTTGTTCTATGATTAATGGTTCACTTTGATTTGTATTTTTTCAATTTGGTAAACTTGGCTAAAATTTGATTCAACCTTACCAATATATTTCACCATTTTATGTATAAATGTTAATTCAATGGTTGGTACCTCTTTGATAAGCTAATACATGAATGATTGTTGATGATTGAACATCATAGAATAAGCTTCTTTGGTTTGACCATTCTTTTAAAACCCGGCCTAGTCAATTAAAGTGGTTCAACCTGGACTTGGGGCTTTCACCGTTTCCGATTACCTGTTTCACTATTCACCAAAAACCTTAAAAATTGGGATGATGATCAACGAACAATTGAAAGTTAAGATGTTGAGACTTTTGAAGAGAAAGTCTCGATGAGTGCAATGGTGGTGACAGAATTGATTTCCAGTTAGTGAATCCATTGGAAATCGAAAAAAAAAAAAAACTGGTGATGACAACAATCTGCTTTTGCCAACGATTGTTAAGGCTAAAAGGGGTGGGGTGAAATGTGTTTTGATCAAAAGGCAGAGGGGAGTATTTTTAAGGTGATGGAAAGGGTTATCCACATCAACGTTGGTGAGATCTGATCAAAATCGATTAAACCTTGAGTAGATTTCTTGGGGAATTTGCTCAAGCAATAATTAAGATTGCATTTGAGGTGTCACCACGACCAACCAATCAACCGCCGATTTGTATTTAAAGGGTGTTTGATAAATTTTAAACATGTAAGGACTTAACATCATTTTCAGGGGTATATTTGCCGAATTTTAAAATTTTTGTCACTCAATTTGACCGATCGATCAAACCGGTCAACCCAATGCCTGGCAGCTTTGCCGCGTTCCACCCCGGATTATGTTTTAAAACATTGGGTTTGACTAGGCTAAATGAATGAACTTATAGATTTTTTAAGAACATCATAGGTAGAATAAGTTATTGATGATTTGGTCAGGACGGTATAAAATAGCAACTTTAAATAAATTAAAAAAAAAAAAGGCCAAATTATATATATATATATATATAAAGAAATTTAATAACTTACTATTCAGTCTCATTTCTTTAAATAACAAGAAAATCTTGTAACCACTTTGGATATTTACAACTACATTTGATCAAATATTTTATGAACAATACAACAAAAGGGGAAAAAAAAAAATAATTGAGACATGTTAAAAACAATCTCCATATTCACTTCTTTCAAAAGGAAAAATCGCTTAAATCTTCAGAAATGAAGACTTCTTGATGCAACTGGTGCCCTGTTTTATGATCACAAAAAATAATGGCAGTGACTATCAAAAACGTACAAAAGCATCTGAACCAAAACTAGAACTAAAGTACTCACCATGCTTGCCGGCATCTTACAGCTTCCTGACGAACAGCTCGCTTTGGGTCGTCTAGTGCCATGGATATTGCTTGTAGTACCTAATAAACACAATTAGAAAAGAAAAATCATAAGAGAAGACAAGTGGGATGGTGGTTTTCTGGATTAGCAAGTAAGTCAAGACTCAGATTTGAGGAGATATTCTATAATAAGGTACTGCAAATAGTAAAAGCAACTAAACAGATAACGGCATAACCCTATTGTAGCAAATGCTGATAATTATGTTCTGCTCTTACTAACCTGTACTCTCATGGGATAAATCCGTGCTTGAGGCAGTCTAGACATGGCAACCAGACACTGAATTGCTGTCTCTCGAACAAGCTGAAAATTTTAATAAGGTTACCGGCTATTTCAAATGCAAGAACACACATACGGGACAATTTACGAAAAAATAAGTTTGCTTTCAAAGAAAATCTGTTACCATCATATGAGGGTAGGTAATAAGTCCAATAAGATGATTAATGATGATATGAGCACACTCTAAGACTGCTTCTTGTCCTGCAGTCATAAGTACAAAAATTAAAACATAAATTACTTACTTCAGTGAAGGGCCATTATACCACAAACCCATCATGAAAGGAGAATTTTTTTAATCCAGTAACATATATGCATACAAGCAGACTTACCATTTTTTTCCGTCAATATCCCAGATATGACCAGCAGGAGACTGTACAGTATATCTTTATCCAAAGTATCACTACATAACACAGATAATCCCTCCATCAATATTGGAATTACCTGCAAAATTAAAATATTATACTTTGAGCAAAAATTAAAAAATCCTGCTTGATGTAATCCGATATAAAACCATTCGTTTTAGATTATTCAACACTAACCTTCTTGGCATCATTCAAGAGAACAACTAAGGGAGTATCTGACATTATGTATGCACAGGCCCGATACAGCATTGATCTGAAATCATATTAGCAGCTTCACTAAGTAATTGTACAGTTCAAATTGGTTTTTACATCATTCCTCACAACATGGACAATAAATATTTCTTCAAGATGGCAAAGCTAGTCAGTTAATTGTACTTGGTGCACATAACTTCTGATCAATATTCAAGATCAATTTATCATGTCAGATGGATTTGTACTACAAGTCTACAACAAGGTGTTTGAGAGTTCAGAGCTGAAACTCAATATTTAAAGAACTATGTAATCTTTCAAGACATTATTCTCTTGGCCTTATTTTAAGATTTCACAAATGCTTAAATTTAGGCTGTAATTTCATTCTTCTTTAATATCCATATTATGTTTCTCTCTAGCACACATCAGTGAATAATTAGCTGATAAAAAGAAAAAAGTGTAAAAATGAAAACGAGGTACTAAAATTGCCAAATATCATACAAAGTAGCAACTAGACCCAATATTGTGCTCGACATCTTATAGACTGACAGCATTTTGGTCAACATTTGTACTATGCTATGATACAGAACAAGGCCCCATCAAAACTGGGACAGACAAACTAACTGGATTCAGCAAAATGAACCCAAAACTATGCTTATTGTAGGCTCTTATTTGAATTTTTTTAGAAGGAATTATCAGCAATCCATCAGATTCAGCTTCAACAATATATTTCTTGGTATATATCATTCAAGCAGCAATATATTTGCACAAAATGAACGCTATGCAAAGGTATAAGAAAAATCATTCAAAACTAAAGCTAGATATAGTCTCTTATGAGTGATGAAGGCATAATATTTTTATTTTATTTTTTAAAGGCATACATACCTTGAGAATGATGACTCAGATTTCACAATCAAAGATTGCAGAATTGGCATTATGGTTGAATAAAAACGTTGCTTATAAAGTGGCCGTACTGTTGCATGGAATTTTCGGCATAAACAATTTTCAGAATCACTCATAAGAATTTGAAATGCATTCGAAGCACATTTCATGACAGATGGATGCACACCCTGCTCAGATATGTCTTCTGAGGATTCCTGCTCTGCTGGCAAAGAACCTTTTTTGTCATTTGACAATAAGCACTCTATAAGAATCATAGTTATGTCTTTAACTTTTTCGTGCCCCCGCATAAGCAAACCTTTTCCAATCCATGCTAGCCCAGTAATTGCATGGATTTGAAGAGATCTACTATTTACAACACCGCGGCATATACTATTAAGACACATCTCACTGCCATTATTCATCCCACCATGTATCCTTGAAGGACCATTATCATTGAAACTACATAAACTCGTGTTGAAAATTATATCCATTACTTCTTCCAAGGTACATGTACTTGATACATCTGTTCCATTGGCATTCAGACCAAATTTGTTAACCATGGAACCCAATGCTTGAGCTGCTGGAACATTACCCTTGAGAATGCTTGTCATAAACAGATGTAATACCAGCCTCACATTTGGAATGTGTGTTTGAGGATGAAGTGCTATAACTACTGATGCAAATAGTGAATATATCCATTCATCTCTACTGGAACCAACGTCTATCTCTTGAGTGAGCTGTAATCCTTTCAGTTGGATTGGAATGGCAGCCATTGGCTCCTTCGGAAAAGAAGTGCTTGATGAAAGTACACTGTAAGCTCTTTCAACTATTATGCTCTGGGTCTCCACTGAACAACTTGCAACAGCTAGCTTCATCGCCTTCATCGTTGCATCAAGAAGCCCCTGCAGTACAATGAATATATCAGTGCCACATAATCCATAAAGCCAGAGAGGTGCTGTGAAAGTAAATTCAATGAGACTTACTTTTTCATGGGTCTGAACACTGAAAGCTGCACAATTTTCAAGTAGGCCCCAAATATTCAGTGCAAACCTCAGCAAGACTTCCTCAAAGCTTCCAGTTTCATGGATCCTGAGATCATTCCAACATCGGTTTTATTTCTTATCCTGTCAAATGGCTAGAAAAATAAAAGCAGGAGCGCGGAAACATGATTGAAAACTTCCTCCTTTTTCTCTTAAGAAATTTCACCGAAAGCATAGATGACAGCGATTATCCATATAGCTCATGTCATCTATAAGATTACCAATATATCTACTAGTTTCTAAACTGACCAGAAGAGCACAAATAGGAGATGGGAAGTGGTCCTGCTGGCCCATGATAGTTTTGACACAGACACACGCAAGCATGCACACCCCTACAGATACACAGAATCCAATCTACATTTTAAAAAGAAAATATGCACCGAGATTCTGTGATGCCATCCATACACTACATGAGCTTAACATTCGCAAAATAATATTCCAGGGAAAAAAAATAGCCACAATACAGTCAGAACCATCTGGGTTGTGATTAACATGAAGGTTTGGAGCATCTCTTCCTAGCATCTTAAGTTAGTTTCACTTTTGGAAACTTGCTGCACATAAGGTGAGAAGTTGGAAAATATAGCAGGGCATAAGCAACACAAACCAATACTGTTGTTGAACTCATTACATAACCGGCAGCAGTGGAACACCCACCAAATTTTTCTAAAAGATGATAACCTTCTAAATAGTAAAAGTTTCTAGCTTACCACTAATGAGGGAATACAAACATAAGAGTCTTTGCACTACTGCAGCAATAAGAATAGTCAAAAGAATTAAAAAGACGGTAAAATGCTATTCAGGATGGAGAGTATACCGCGCAAACACCTTATTTGAGTAGCATTCCAAAAGTTGAACTACGACTTCGGCTGACTTAGAATTCCCATGGACCTAATCAAATAGAAAGCAAAAATGAACCACCATCAAAAGAAAAGAATTAATTTTAAAAATTAGCTTTGAGCAGCCCATGAAACATCCTCAGAGAAAGTTGGTGAAACCACTACTCTGATGTACTTAGATAATGCTTTGTTAAACTAGAAACATAGATTAGTTCAAATAATAATTGCACACATCTCCAGACAGATAAGCAGCGTCAAAAGATGAAACAATGATGCTGAACCAATATCTTCTTTCAACGAGGACATTTCATGACTTTTAAGTAAAAAAATTTCTACTTAAAGAACATAGAATTTATCAGCTGAACGTACATAAACCTCAGACAAATTGGCACATATAGCTTCTTCTAGTCCTTGAACAATTTTCAGCAAATAATTTGATCCACTTGCACCAATCTCGGAAATTGCTTCCAGTTTGAGTGGTAATGGCATACTTAAATCATTGAAAGATGCCAATAAAACAATCTTTTCAATGACAATACCCATATAGCTCAGTTCCTTCTCAGACGCATGACATCTATCAATGGACAAGCCAATGTACACCAGTGCCTTTAGTGCCAGCTTCCATAACAGAGTCTTCTCGAAGTCCGCAGTGATAATTGATGTTAATGTCAACAAAATATTCTCAAATGTAGATTTTGATATTATTAAAGAGCCACCAGGGAATGTTCCCAGAATCAGAAGACCCTTCACTGTATTTAGCTCAGAAGAAAAAGAACTATCAATTAATCATTACTCATTTAGAGGAGCAATTGATGAAATAATTAGGCAAGAATAAATAAATCACAAAACTTCATGTCAGCTGAAGTTGTATTTTTGACAGATTACAACTCATATAACCATGATGTCACATCCCATATAATGTTTTAAGACAAAAATATGATTAATGGACAAATTATCATATTCAACTATATCATATAAAACAGTTTCAATAATGTTATATAATGACATATACTACCCATGGCAGGGATGAGGATATTAAAACACATTAATGTTTTATTAAAACATCCGTGCATGCCAAACATCCGTGCTGACCTTGGAATGCAAGATTTGAGTATTAGACAGACTTCAGATTTCCACAAACTTGTGATCAACAGGTTTATGCAAATTCATGTAACATATACCGTGGAACCTCCTAATAATCACCGGCCAAGCTTATTGAGAGAGAATTAAACAAATGATATGCAAATGGGAAAAGACAGCCAGACACACACATGCACACACACAAGTACCAGACATCGAAGCAATGATATCTGTAAGTTTAACAAGATTCACCTCCAAAATATACATCTGCATCATAAGCATCTTCATTTGTGCTTGTTGCCAAGGTAAAAGTGAAGGCCTTAGTTAATGAAGCAGAAAAGCTCTGAATCAAGCAACACCATTTCTCATGTGCAAGAGCAGACTGTGTCATGAATGGTTCAGAGCCTGATATTTCATCTCGGCATGCTGCAATAAGTTCAATGCAGAGATAAAGAGCTGCATGATTAAGCCTTTCAGCAAGTACATAATCATCATTTGGAAAGCAATCCTGAGATGAGTTTCTGACTGAAAGCCCTAAAGCATCCACCAAGCTGGGGAAGAAACTTTCCATAACTCTATTGCAGGAGGCAAGAGAAGCTTTGACAGAGACAGAAAGGATGCAACCAACCGCATGTAGTTTCTGCTTGCTTTGCATAGGAATGTTATTGTAACTCTTAAAATTAGAGATGGATCTGAAAATAAAATTTATATCTTCATCAGCTATAATCTGACTTAAAAACAAATCAGTATTTTGCTTGATAACTGTCTGCAGAAGAGTTAGAGCTTCTCGTAAAATTGCATTGTCCTCAAAGCCAAGGCCATCCAGTGATTCCAAACCAAAGGACAGACTAGGCTCCAGTGAAAAGTATATCGCATCCTTTATCGATGACCAAATTGCTCCAGCATGTTTTGCTATCCGGTCTGCACCATACGTCAGTGTACAACTGCTGAGATACTTCAGAGAATCAACCTGAAGCATGTAATCATAAAGCTAGCACTCAGATTCAACAATCCAAAGATAACATTCTAACCATGGAAGCAAATATTACATCATTATAATGAATCCTAACTAGCAGAACAACATATAATTAAAATCGATACTGACCTTTGCTGATGGCAAAGAGGAAGAAAGTTTTTCAAGGAGCAATGGAATGGCAAAGGCCTCAAAAAGAGGAGTGGAGGAAAATGCTCGCTGTGGAAAAAGAGAGAGAGAGAGAGAGAGAGAGAATTGGATTAGTCCAACAATCGTTGGCCAAGTAGAAGGCCAAATACACAACAAAAAATGAGGGTTAACAAAGTATATTAAACATTAACAAGTAAAACAAAGTCCTTTGCAGCATGGGGGGCAGGAGGGTGGTAAGAATAAGATATCTTGAGAGTCATGATAATGATTTTTGGTGTGAATATATTAACAGATTCCAATCAATTTCGAAAATAAAAATTTATATGTTTTTTACTTTCCCATTTAAGGAGGATCCATACAACATTTTGAGGAATAAGAACAAGTAAGGACATATAAAAATAAAAAAATTCAATTTTTTTTTTATTAAAAAAAAAAAAAGCAGGAATTCACTTTAACCAAATATGGCCAAAAGGCAGCATAGTAGACAACAATGAATTACATACCATCAATGCAGATGAAAGATCATCTCTTTTCACATCAAAGTCCTCACCTGTAGACTGTAAATGTATACAAAGAAAATCACAAAGCGTAAATCAACAAAATAGCAAACCATGTAGGACAGTAAAATCCACAGACAAAAAGACATAAAGAATAATATCCAGATCCCAAGTCGGCCAAATAGAAGAAGAGCAACCAAAGGGCAACTCAAATGTTATTCATGTTCATAGAAGATTAGTTGTCAGGACAATAGAACACAAATGTTCAGACATTCAGATATAATCCATTATCAGTCCGAAAGACTTCTTCATTTTTTACAGCAGATATATAAAAGCGAATAACAATGCATATTGTTTATTAAATAAAATAGCAGACTGAGAAGAAGTATCCTGAAGAACAACCCACTAAAACAACTTATCCTTTTAAAGGCTGGTTTTGGGGTCACTGTTCCACACTCCCCATATACTCTGTTATAAAACCAAGAGATAAAGCCACAAAAAATCCAAATGTCTACTAAATATGATGATACATTGCTTCCCTGATGTGAGTAAAGGATCCTAAGACCACAAACCCATGCGCATGTCTATACACAACACATGGTTATTCTCAGACTCACAACAACAAATGCATCGAAGAAAGATTTAGAAAATAACAACCCCAATACTGAAAGGGGTAGGTTACAGTCATAAATGACACTTAAGATATCCAGACAAAAGTACAAATATGGTTTAAAATATACATGAACCAAGGGAATNATCAAGAATAATATCCAGATCTCAAGTCAGCAAAATAGAAGAAGAGCAACCAAAGGGGAACTCAAATGTTATTCATGTTCATAGAAGATTAGTTGTCAGGACAATAGAACACAAATGTTCAGACATTCAGATCTAATCCATTATCAGTCTGAAACACTTCTGCATTTCTTACAGAAGATATATAAAAGCGAATAACAATGCATATTGTTTATTGAATAAAATAGCAGACTGAGAAGAAGTATCCTGAAGAAAAACCCACTAAAACAACTTATCCTTTTAACTGCTGGTTTTGGGGTCACTCCCATATACTCTGTTATAAAACCAAGAGATAAAGCCACTAAAAATCCAAATGTCTACCAAATAAGATGATACATTGCTTCCCTGATGTAAGTGAAGGATCCTAAGACCACAAACCCATGCACATGTCTATAGACAAACACATGGTTATTCTCAGAATCAAAACAACAAATGCATCAAAGAAAGATTTAGAAAATAACAAACCCAATACTGAAAGGGGTAGGTTACAGTCATAAATGCACTTAAGATATCCAGACAAAAGTACAAATATGGTTTAAAATATACATGAACCAAGGGAATGCTTCATATAAAAAGTGATCTCATATTAATCTTATATCTGATTAACCGGATAATCCAACTTCCTTCTTGTGATATTTAACCGATCAATATAACCTATGCTAATTCAAATTTCAACTACAGAATAAAAGTAAAAGGGCAAATAAAATACGGTTTGTGTAAATAAACCCAGCTTACATGAGTAAAATGAATGGGGAAGTAACAGCCTAAAATTTCAAAAAGGTCGCTGGCAAAACTTGCAAGCAGATCATCAGGAAATACTTGTGCCACAACCTCAACAATGCAAAAAGTTAGCATTAAGCACTGTGGATCCTTCTCCCCATCAATAGCTTCACAGATTCCGTAGAGAAAGTCTTCACCCTTGACCACAATAAACCATTTAATTGTTACTTAAAAGGAATACAAGGAAATATGTCAAGAAAATCAATTAAAAAATAAGAAGCAGAAATTTATTGAATGATATCTGTTGAATATGTTTCTGGCTGAAAGTGCATGTCTTGAGTCAGGTATGCAAGCACACATATGCATGTGTCAGCATGGGCATGAATCACTTTGTGTGTGTGTGTGTGTGTGTATGCGGGTGAGAGAGGATGAGAGAAAGAATTTGAAGTACAAGTCGTGCAGAAATAGGAAAGGTAAAGTGATCAAAAACACATACAACAAAAGTGAGAAATGCAATAAACCTGCATGTGAGAAACGTGAAGGGATCACACATGCCTCACTGGATTTAGCTTATGTAATTTAATTCTAGTTAAAAACCAAAACATTCAACTCTAGGAATTTCTATAATTTACATAAAATGAAACTAAATGTTCACCAAGCATACAGATGCAGTTCTACACAGATTATGAAAACTAATTTGATTATAACGTTACAACTTCAATTAACAAAACAGATTAATATTTTCCATCATTGTAATTAATATTTTCCATCATTGTAATGCAATGTTGATCTAGCTACTTCAGACAATATGTTGCGGACAAATTATAATAGCTTCCTTCTTGAACTTAAAAAGCATCTGTAAAGTCTTAAAGTTGAATCGTTACTTCATTGTCTAGACCTTAACACAATTGCATTAGCGCAACTGTTGCTTTTCAGGATACAGCCTCGGATACTTTTCCTTTATTTTCATTATTTTACAGTATTCTGAAGTGATAAATTAATACTATTCACTGTAAAGCATAAGTTTGAAAGGACTTCTCCAAGAAGAAGGATACCTGAAAAAGAAGTGCAAACTCCACGATTTATTCTCAAATTGTTTGCTAATTCTTAGAAAGAAATAAAGAACAGTATACAAATAACCAGTAAGTGAAGAAAAATTTAACATCGCCAATCAAAACATAACTTGCCCGAAATGTTTTGGATTATCTTTTTCTTCTTTTCATATTCAAAATCATCAAAGGAACATGATAGTGATACACTTATCCAATTAAACTACAGTCTAAACAACTTAACGTCATAGTCAACATAACACATTAAAATGTTTACCTCTTGCACGAGTGACATCATCAGTGGTAGTCAAATACATATCCATCTCTCTAACCTACATATATTTTGAAAAATGACAAAGTAAAAGACAAACACCCGGAAACTACACACACGAAGAAAATCACCAAAAAGAAGAAAATAACTCAGCGCAAACAAAACGATGTACGTAAACCATACCAGTTTTTCTATAGTCAACACATTATTCTTCAACAAAGAAACAACTGCATCCAAACTTGCAGCCTGTAATCAACTCACAGTACAATTATACATCATAGCTATAAACATCCACAATTATGATTAATAAGTATTCTTTTAAAAAAAAAAAATGCATTATATTAAACACAGTGATTAACAAATAAATCCATAATTTAGGTTCAAACTCGGCCATTTCATACATATGTACAGATAATTAAAGTTATAATTAAATAATTTAAATTCAAGTTCTGTTTTTCTATAAACACGCAGACATAATTAACTCACTGATTAATCCAAAAAAAAAAAAAAATTAAAAGTAAAAACCAGTTTGCTAAAGATATTACTTGAAGTTACATATTCTAAAATCAAGTTTTAATTTTTCAAATTTTCATAATCTTTCAACACAATTCTACTTTATAAAAAAAAAAACAAAAAATTCACAAGAACTAGAAATTGAAAAAGAATATATAACAGCAAGAGTTGTCGATTCAGAACCTGGTGAGCGGGCGAGCTGGACAAGTTAACGAATGACTCAATGTGCTGACTCAGATGACTCGGTTGCACCATTGGATTTCGTGAAAGATTGAGTAATGAGTTAGGGTTTTATGAGGGGAGTGAAAGGGTTTTGTGAGTTCTTAAGAGGAACCAAGTCGAAGTGAGTTAAACAGTCTTGTTGAAGAAAAGTGGGAAACTAGAAGCAGAGAGAATGTTTCTAATTTACAAATTGACCCCAAGAGTTTAGTTATTACTAAAATAGCACGTCATGTTTGCGTTTCCCTCTTTTCCCCTTTTTGAGCTACGGTTTTTACACATTTTTCAGGTTACACCCTACTAAAAACATCTTACATTACGAAAACAGTTACAGTTTTGTATATGTTATGCCTGAAAAGTTAGAGCTGATGTGGACTCTCATCAGTATGAGTCAATCAGGGCTCAGGAAAGTTTTATATCGTCCAGGCGTTATCACGTCGCACAATGACGCAAGAGGCATGACTCCTACTAGTGTGGTAGGTGAGTGTCAAGCTTGCGAGCGGTTAGGAATCATCCACCTGTCCAAGCCCTACGCAAGTGGAGGACATTTCTCGTGCAAATAACCAATGTGACGTAAAGAAAGATTTGCACGACACCTACCCACTTGTAAACTTGTAATCATTACCTTGAAATCTCCCACTATAACTAGAAGACTTCCCTCTATTCTACAGGATTGACTAATCTTTGTCTAAAATAGCTTACTCTCTCTCTCTCTCTTTTGTATTCTCTCTAGATTATAACTCAGCTTGTTGCACGTGACTTTATTTTAACCATCTATTAATACAATAATAGTGGACGTAGGATTCACTTTTGAGCAATCGAACCACTTTAAATATCTCTTCTTATTCATTAATTCATTTCATATTCCTTTATCACGTGTAATTTCTAAGTCTGCTTATCACTTTACAAGTGCGAATCGTTAGTGTCAAAATCAAGCATCAAGAGTATGGTTTTCTTCTTGTTCCTTTAAATTATCAATAATGCTACAGACACCGAAAAACCCACACTGAAATTGTGTACCGGCCTACGTGTAACACGCTTATGATTTTTTTAACAATTGTTTTCTAGTGAACGGTCGTCCATCAAATTTGGACGGCCCCGTCCATATTATATGGACAGGGGTCCATATACCAGGCGTCCATATACCAAGGACGGGCGTCCCCAATTAAAGGACGCCCGTCCATAACTAAAATAGAACAATTTTTTTTGATAAATATTAGGGACGGCCGTTCATCCGTTATGGACGGTCGTCCCTTCATTTTGGATGGGCGTCCGTAAATAAGGGACGCTCGTCCTTAACTAAAATATGAAAATAAAAAAAAAAAATTGGGAATGGCCATCCATAAATTTTGGACGGCCGCCCCTTAAATTTAGACAAGCGTCCATTAGGAATGGACGGCCGTCCCTTAAGTTTGTACGGACTTCATTCCTAATGGACGTCCGTCCATACTTTAAAAAAAAAAAAAAGAAAAAAAAAATATTCTAAATACCTTTCTTCTTGGCTCTTCTTCTTCGTCTTCATTCACTGCGCTTTTTTCATACTTATCGCACCTTCTTCGCTTGCCTCCATTGAAACTTTATTGCATCCTTCTGAAGTTTCGGACACTTTGTGCTAGTGCCTATTGTGCACTGGGCTGCCATGGGAGTTGCACGCACAACAAGCAGATTGACTGTACTGTGCATGGGAATTTTTCAAACTTACCATGTAATTGTGTTTCCGGAAACAAATTAACTCTTCTGTGCTTTCCACCAAGTATGCCTTTTATCTCTAGTTCTTTTGCTTACAGTACAACATGTTTTTCTGCTCATCTTTCAGCGGCATATGTATTGCCCAGTCGTGAAGCCCTGTGTTTAGGAGATAGGGTCATAATTTATCTTCCACGTTGTGCAGACACTAATTCTGAAGTTAGAAAACTTTCTGCTCAGGTATGAATTTTATATGCAGTTGGTAGTTTTGTCTAGACCTTAACACAATTGCATTAGCGCAACTGTTGCTTTTCAGGATACAGCCTCGGATACTTTTCCTTTATTTTCATTATTTTACAGTATTCTAAAGTGATAAATTAGTACTATTCACCGTAAAGTATAAGTTGAGGCAAAGTGAGAGCAGGACTTATACCAGTGAAGCAATGGCATCAGGAAAACGTTGTAATAGGCCTTCCAAAAGTTCAAAGCAAAGCTGCAACAATGTTCATCCAAAATATGAAGACAAAACAGAAACTTCAATGAGTACTGCAATGGTAAGTTACCAACAGAACTACTCAAGGTACACACAGTCATGGTATGTAAACTGTCTTACCTTCCTATCACGTTGTGCTAATGACTGCACCTGTAGGTTTTGTATATAAGACTGGGCAACTGCTTTTGCATCATTTGCAGTAACCACACCACCACTACTTTTCCTCCTCACTAGTGCCAAACAACCAACAAGTGCACCACGGAGAGCTTTCCAATCTGCCTGATCCAAGTAAAATATCATCTATCCATTTTTTAAATAACCATGTATATAACTGATAATAATCAATCTTATATAACCAAAATGAATGGAATGCTAATGTTACAAAATGAAAGCAAGTAAACCCATGCAAATCAATGTTAGTAATGTTTGTAAAATTAATAAAAGAAAAGAAATTCATTAATCCTTCTTAAAGATAATGTTGCAAAAGAGAAATGCTAAACTCACCAGTCTATCTGAGAAGAATGCTATCAGGCTATGTACAGTAGCATCATCCAGCGGCTTTGACACAAGATTTGAAAGGACTTCTCCAAGAAGAAGGATACCTGAAAAAGAAGTGCAAATTCCACGATTTATTCTCAAATTGTTTGCTAATTCTTAGAAAGAAATAAGGAACAATATAAAAATAACCAGTAAGTGAAGAAAAATTTAGCATCGCCAATCAAAACATAACTAGCCCGAAAAGTTTTGGATTATCTTTTTCTTCTTTTCATATTCAAAATCATCAAAGGAACATGATAGTGATACACTGATCCAATTAAACTACAGTCTAAACAACTTAACGTCATAGTCAACATAACACATTAAAATGTTTACCTCTTGCACGAGTGACATCATCAGTGGTAGTCAAATACATATCCATCTCTCTAACCTACATATATTTTGAAAAATGACAAAGTAAAAGACAAACACCCGGAAACTACACACACGAAGAAAATCACCAAAAAGAAGAAAATAACTCAGCGCAAACAAAACGATGTACGTAAACCATACCAGTTTTTCTATAGTCAACACATTATTCTTCAACAAAGAAACAACTGCATCCAAACTTGCAGCCTGTAATCAACTCACAGTACAATTATACATCATAGCTATAAACATCCACAATTATGATTAATAAGTATTCTTTTAAAAAAAAATACATTATATTAAACACAGTGATTAACAAATAAATCCATAATTTAGGTTCAAACTCGGCCATTTCATACATATGTACAGATAATTAAAGTTATAATTAAATAATTTAAATTCAAGTTCTGTTTTTCTATAAACACGCAGACATAATTAACTCACTGATTAATCCAAAAAAAAAAAAAAATTAAAAGTAAAAACCAGTTTGCTAAAGATATTACTTGAAGTTACATATTCTAAAATCAAGTTTTAATTTTTCAAATTTTCATAATCTTTCAACACAATTCTACTTTATAAAAAAAAAAACAAAAAATTCACAAGAACTAGAAATTGAAAAAGAATATATAACAGCAAGAGTTGTCGATTCAGAACCTGGTGAGCGGGCGAGCTGGACAAGTTAACGAATGACTCAATGTGCTGACTCAGATGACTCGGTTGCACCATTGGATTTCGTGAAAGATTGAGTAATGAGTTAGGGTTTTATGAGGGGAGTGAAAGGGTTTTGTGAGTTCTTAAGAGGAACCAAGTCGAAGTGAGTTAAACAGTCTTGTTGAAGAAAAGTGGGAAACTAGAAACAGAGAGAATGTTTCTAATTTACAAATTGACCCCAAGAGTTTAGTTATTACTAAAATAGCGCGTCATGTTTGCGTTTCCCTCTTTTCCCCTTTTTGAGCTTCGGTTTTTACACATTTTTCAGGTTACGCCCTACTAAAAACATCTTACATTACGAAAACAGTTACAGTTTTGTATATGTTATGCCTGAAAAGTTAGAGCTGATGTGGACTCTCATCAGTAAGAGTCAATCAGGGCTTAGGAAAGTTTTATATCGTCTAGACGTTGTCACGTCGCACAATGACGCAAGGGGCATGACTCATACTAGTGTGGTAGGTGAGTGTCAAGCTTGCGAACGGTTAGGAATCATCCACCTGTCCAAGCCCTACGCAAGTGGAGGACATTTCTCGTGCAAATAACCAATGTAACGCAAAGAAAGATTTGCACGACACCTACCCACTTGCAAACTTGTAATCATTACCTTGAAATCTCCCACTATAAATAGAAGACTTCCCTCTATTCTACATGATTGACTAATCTTTGTCTAAAATAGCTTACTCTCTCTCTTTCTCTTTTGTATTCTCTCTAGATTATAACTCAGCTTGTTGCACGTGACTTTATTTTAACCATCTATTAATACAATAGTAGTGGACGTAGGATTCGCTTTTGAGCAATCGAACCACTTTAAATATCTCTTCTTGTTCATTAATTCATTTCATATTCCTTTATCACGTGTAATTTATAAGTCTGCTTATCACTTTATAAGTGCGAATCGTTAGTGTCAAAATCAAGCATCAAGAGTATAGTTTTCTTCTTGTTCCTTTAAATTATCAATAATGCTACGGACACCGAAAAACCTAAACTGAAATTGTGTACCGGCCTACGTGTAACACACTTATGATTTTTTTAACAATTGTTTTCTAGTGAACGGTCGTCCATCAAATTTGGACGGCCGTTCACTCACATGGATGCCCGTCCATATTATATGGACAGGGGTCCATATACCAGGGACGGACATCCCCAATTAAAGGACGCCCGTCCATAACTAAAATGGAACAAATTTTTTTTATAAAAATTAGGGATGGCCGTTCATCTGTTATGGACAGTCGTCTCTTCATTTTGGACGGGCGTCCGTAAATAAAGGACGCATGTCTTTAACTAAAATATGAAAATAAAAAAATAAAAAAATTTGGGAACGGCCATCCATAAATTTTGGACGGCCGCCCCTTAAATTTGGACAAGCGTCCATTAGGAATGGACGGTCGTCCCCTAAGTTTGGACGGGCTTTATTCCTAATGGACATCCGTCCATACTTTAAACAAAAAAACATTCTAAATACCTTTCTTCTTCGCTCTTCTTCTTCGTCCTCATTCACTGTGCTTTTTTCATATTTATCGCACCTTCTTCACTTGCCTCCATGGAAACTTTATTGCATCCTTCTGAAGTTTCGGACACTCTGTGCTAGTGGCTATTGTGCACTGGGCTGCCATGGGAGTTGCACGCACAACAAGCAGATTGACCGTACTGTGCATGGGAATTTTTCAAACTTACCATGTAATTGTGTTTCCTGAAACAAATTAACTCTTCTGTGCTTTCCACCAAGTATGCCTTTTATCTCTAGTTCTTTTTCTTACAGTACAACATGTTTTTGCTTTCCACCAAGTATGCCTTTTATCTCTAGTTCTTTTGCTTACAGTACAACATGTTTTTCTGCTCATCTTTCAGCGGCATATGTATTGCCCAGTCGTGAAGCCCTGTGTTTAGGAGATAGGGTCATAATTTATCTTCCACGTTGTGCANAGGGGCTAGATATGTTGTTACATTTATAGACGACTTTACGGATTTCTTTTTTGAAATGGAAATCTGATGTGCTAACATGTGTTTGAGAATTTCTGTGAATTTGTTAAAACACAATTTGAAAGAAAAAGGGGAGAATACATGTCCAATGAATTTCAATCCCTTCTCTCTCGGAAGGGAATCATGCACCAACGGTCGTGTCCCCATACCCTAAAAATGGGATAGCTGAGATAAGCCCTATGTTATTATGCATATTGTGGAGACAGTCCGTTGCTTGCTTATCTCAAGTAATGTCCCTACATATTTCTGGGCTGAAGCAGCTCTAACTGCAGCCTATCTCATCAATCGTCTCCCTAGCTCTACTGTTGGTATAAATAACCTGTTGAGAAGCTGACTGGTTTACCTCCTTCTTACTCAAGATTGCGTGTCTTTGGTTGTACATGCTATGTTTTACTTCATTCGTCTGTCAGAGACAAACTTGCACAAAAATCGTATAATTTTCAATTCCTCTCCTTTCAGTCGAGTGATTAGAAATTCCTTGGATATGGATAAACTCACTTACAAGTGCCCGTTTCCAGAAATGTCACCTTTTTTGAAAATGATCCATTCTTTGAGAAAGGAAAGAGAAAGAAGACAATTATCAATGTTCTGATAAGATGGAATTTTCCTTCTTGCCTGGATATGATCCTCCTTGTGATAAGGATCCTCATGTATCTTTTGTAGATAGCAGTAGCGATGAAAAGAATAAGGATAAGCTACAAAACTTCAACCATGATGCAAACATTTCTACCGTCCTAACATTTTTTTTTTTTTTTTTTAAGTATGGATGTAATGGACGCCCGTCCAAACGTAAGGGACGACCATCCATAATTTATGGACGGCCATCCCCAAAGTTTTTTTTTTAATTTTCATAATTTATTTATGGACGGACGTCCTTTAAATGTGGACGCCCGTCCCTTGTATATGAATGCCCGTCCATATAATATGGACGGGCACCCATGTAAGTGAATGGCCGTCCAAATTTGATGGACGACCGTTCACTAGAAAAAAAATTGTAAAAAAAATGAGAGACATATTACACGTAGACCGGTACACGATTTCAGTGTAACTTTTTCGGTGTCTGTAGCTTTGTTGCTATCCCTGGATCATTAGGGTTTTTCTAAAAGAACATTAACTGCTCTTAGGTTAAAATCTCTCAACAAACCATTTTCGCTATTAGGTCACGACTACCAACCGATCGAACATCATGTTACACGATTTCTTTTTTTCTCTTACATTCTAATTATACTGAAACAAAGGGACGCTAGATCCAGATTACTATTGAAATAGACAAAGGGCTAAACTTTTTCCATACCCCTTCTCCCAAACTACGGTGAAAAATACATAAAACCCCTACACCTTCGTTAATAGCTCAAACCCTACTTCCGCTTGTCAAAGTAACTTAAATCTGTCACTTGACTCCAACAAATCAACAATCGTACAGTTAACTACCTTACTTACCCCTGACTTACAGCAAAGTAATAAATACTTTATATTTAGAGATTATCCAGATTCGAGTTGAATGTAACGTTAAGTCTTTAAGTTATATGTATTATAAATGATCAAATTCGAAAGTTATATTGATATTTAAAATTATAGGGCCAAAGCGATACTTGCTTTGCGCTATAAAATGTAATAACTTTATTTTCTTTTAACAATATAATGTCAATCTTATTTGTCTACAATTGGCAGTTTCACACTATAGTTTCCTCAAGATTAAGCAGGCACCGTTTTCCGGATGAAGAGTAATAACTGTATGAGGAGCATGCACGTAAGATGGAGATAACTCAAATGTGAAGTTTTTCATGATTAGAGCCAAAGCCATTTTTGCTTCCATGAGAGCAAAGTTTTGTCCAATGCATATCCGAGGACCCCATCCGAAAGGGATGAATGAAACTTGATTTTCTGTCGCCTTTGAAATTCCTTCTGAAAACCTCTCTGGTTTAAACTCCATTGCATCTTCACCCCAAAGTTCCTGATCATGGTGAACCAAGATAATTGGGGTTGTGACCTCAACTCCAGCAGGTAGTGACAAGTTCCCAAGTTTTAGTTCTTCGTTAACAGCTCGATCAACAGCAACTACTGGAGGGTATAACCTGAGTACCTCATATAGTATCATTGTGACCTAATATACAGTAATTAAAATCAAATTCCATAGAACAAAAAAAAAAGAAGAGAATTTTTGTATGATATATTATGATACTTACAACTTTCAAGTGATTCAGTTCATCATAGCTAGGTTTCTTATCACCAAATACTAGGAAAATCTCTTCTCTTGCACGAGCTTGCCAATCTTGATGTTTACTCAGTAAAACCATAGTCCAAACAAGCAGAACGGAGGTAGTCTCTTGACCAGCAAAGTAAAATAGCTTACACTCTTTAATCACTTCATCTATACTCATTCCAACATTTTTGTTGTTTCCATGTTCTTCAATTTCTCTAAAATTTGATTCCATGAGTATACCTAATAAGTCATTCTTTGCAGCTTCACCTGCTTCCCTTGCCTTCTCTCTATTTTTTATGATACCCAGAAGTAAAGCTCGGATTTCCATGTCAAGTTCCTTCAATCTCCTATTCCTCTTAGTAGGTAAAAACCTACAAACATGTATGTAAGCAATAAAAGTTAATTAAATGAACTATGATGATCAAGAACTGTTTATATCTGGGCATCCACCATTTTTTGAAACTGTAATATATGAGAAAAAGAGAAATTGTTTCCTGTGCGAAATCTAGACTAAGCTTATATCATTTTTTGAACATTAGATATTATTTTACCTCCATCCTGGAATGTAAACCGATTGTAATACTTCTGTTATAAGATCACCTAATTCTGTCAGGAGTTGGAATATCCTTCTTCCTTCTTCGAAGTTGCTTCCAAATGCTGTTTTAGAAATCACATCACCTGTCAAATTTGCAAGGAAGGGCCATACATCCAATTCACATGATCCTTCTTCAGAGACCAATTTCTCCCATTTGCTAATCATCTCAGTACAAACTTGATAGAATTCAGGTAACATAAGCTGTAACAAGTTACAAAATCAAAATTAGCTCTTAGCAAAAAGAAATGTCAACAAAAAAGTTTAGAATATGGAATTACTAAATGGAAAAAAAAATAAAAAATGAATGGACCTTCAACTTGTCGAGATGGAATGCTGGATTGATAATCCTTCTCTGTTTGGTCCACTTCTCCCCTTCATACTCAAAAAGTCCAGTTGCAAGATACTTGGCAAGTGGGTTCGCCCGAGGTTTATGAAAATCACTAAGCCTGGAAAATATTACTTTTAGTTGATCAGGATTCATGATGGTCACCCTGGGTATTGGACCAATCCATATAAAAGAATTTTTACCTGCAATTTTGACAAATATGTACAAATGTTAGTAGAAGATACAATAATATAGGTAATATATGAAAAATGACTAAAAAGATAGGTGATGTACATACCATAATCCTTTACCACTTGATGGAGGAATGGAACAATACGTGGTGTACTGTCATCAGAGACAGTGAAGGATCTGGATTTTGTTTGTTCTAGCATCATTGAGGCCTCCTTCAAGTCTCCGTAGAGAAGCCTGTAAGGTTTACCCAAGAGACCTTGCTGTCTCAGGTATCTCTCCAGCCTCTTTGGCCTCAACCATACCCAGTTCAGCACTCTCCATGCCAATGTTACTACTGTAACCAAAACTATGGAGACTGCAATGGATTTCAGTGATAATTCCATTTCAGAATCAGTATGAAATTTCAAAGACTCTTTTATTGATATGAGATCCTACGTATTTGGAATGAATTGAGAGAGAAGCTAATGTTCCTTATTTATAGTAATACAAAAAAAGAGACTGTAAGAGACCATGAAAAATATCTTCGGAGTTTGCTCATTATTTTAATTGATAGAAAGATTTTGTGGTCGTTTAATTGTCAAAGAGCCACCAAATCGCTGTCTATTTACTTTTAATTTAATGGTTTTTTGTATATAATTTATATCAAGAGGATTGTTGCAGCACAGAATGCGACTTCCATGAAGTTACTGAGATCAACAAGTTGCAGTAATTTGCTGCAATATTATATTATAAGCATATATTTGTAATGAAATCTAAATTATATTATAAGACCACCGCCTCTTCCCTTTTAGAGGGCTGCTCACTTGATCACCAAGGATCTGATGACTTGGTCCCAAGAATTCCCCTTGGCCTCCAAGCAAATTAAGTCATTGTTTTAAAACCCGATCTGTTGTGAGACCTGGCAAGGTGACCATGTCACGGGTCAACTAGTCCAACTAGTTAGACCGACCGGTTAGACCATTTGACGTTAAAAATAAAAATATTCTAAAAAGCTAAAAGTAGTCCCTTATATTTTAGTACATTTAAAACACCCCTACAAAATTTCAATTAGGGTCTAGATTTTAATTTCTTTCAAAAATGCCCCAAAAAAATAATCAATCACAAAACTTAATGTCAGCTGAAGTTGTCTTTTTGACAGATTACAACTCATATAACCATGATGTCACATCCCATATAATGTTTTAAGACAAAAATCTGATTAATGGACAAAATTATCATATTCAACTATATCATATAAAACAATTTCAATAATGTTATATAATGACATACACTACCCAAGGCAGGGATGAGGATATTAAAACACATTAATGTTTTATCAAAACATCCGTGCATGCCAAACATCCGTGCTGACCTTGGAATGCAAGATTTGAGTATTAGACAGACTTCAGATTTCCACAAACTTGTGATCAACAGGTTTATGCAAATTCATGTAACATATACCGTGGAACCTCCTAATAATCACCGGCCAAGCTTATTGAGAGAGAATTAAACAAATGATATGCAANGTTAGACCATTTGAGGTTAAAAATAAAAATATTCTAAAAACCTGAAAGCAGTCCCTTATATTTTAATACATTTAAAACACCCCTACAAAATTACAATTAGGGTCTAGATTTTAATTTCTTTCAAAAATGCCCCAAAAAATTAATCAATCACAAAACTTAATGTCAGCTGAAGTTGTATTTTTGACAGATTACAACTCATATAACCATGATGTCACATCCCATATAATGTTTTAAGACAAAAATATGATTAATGGACAGAATTATCATATTCAACTATATCATATAAAACAGTTTCAATAATGTTATATAATGACATACACTACCCATGGCAGGGATGAGGATATTAAAACACATTAATGTTTTATTAAAACATCCGTGCATGCCAAACATCCGTGCTGACCTTGGAATGCAAGATTTGAGTATTAGACAGACTTCAGATTTACACAAACTTGTGATCAACAGGTTTATGCAAATTCATGTAACATATACCGTGGAACCTCCTAATAATCACCGGCCAAGCTTATTGAGAGAGAATTAAACAAATGATATGCAAATGGGAAAAGACAGCCAGACACACACATGCACACACACAAGTACCAGACATCCAAGCAATGATATCCGTAAGTTTAACAAGATTCACCTCCAAAATATACATCTGCATCATAAGCATCTTCATTTGTGCTTGTTGCCAAGGTAAAAGTGAAGGCCTTAGTTAATGAAGCAGAAAAGCTCTGAATCAAGCAACACCATTTCTCATGTGCAAGAGCAGACTCTGTCATGAATGGTTCAGAGCCTGATATTCCATCTCGGCATGCTGCAATAAGTTCAATGCATATCTGATTAACCGGATAATCCAACTTCCTTCTTGTGGTATTTAACCGATCAATATAACCTATGCTAATTCAAATTTCAACTACAGAATAAAAGTAAAAGGACAAACAGAATACAGTTTGTGTAAATAAACCAAGCTTACATGAGTAAAATGAATGGGGAACAGCCTAAAATTTCAAAAAGGTCGCTGGCAAAACTTGCAAGCAGATCATCGGGAAATACTTGTGCCACAACCTCAACAATGCAAAAAGTTAGCATTAAGCACTGTGGATCCTTCTCCCCATCAATAGCTTTACAGATTCCGTAGAGAAAGTCTTCACCCTTGACCAAAATAAACCATTTAATTGTTACTTAAAAGGAATATAAGGAAATATGTCAAGAAAATCAATTAAAAAATGAGAAGAGCAGATTTTATTGAATGATATCTATTGAATATGTTTCTGGCTGAAAGTGCATGTCTTGAGTCAGGTATGCAAGCACACATATGCATGTGTCAGCATGGGCATGAACCACTTTGTGTGTGTGTGTGTGTGTGTGTATGCGGGTGAAAGAGAGGGTGAGAGAAAGAATTTGAAGTACAAGTCGGGCAGAAATAGGAAAGGTGAAGTGATCAAAAACACATACAACAAAAGTGAGAAATGCAATAAACCTGCATGTGAGAAACGTGAAGGGATCACACATGCCTGACTGGATTTAGCTTATGAAATTTAATTCTAGTTAAAAACCAAAACATTCAACTCTAGGAATTTCTATAATTTACATAAAATAAAACTAAATGTTCACCAAGCATACAGATGCAGTTCTACAGAGATTATGAAAACTAATTTGATTATAACATTACAACTTCAATTAACAAAATAGATTAATATTTTCCATCATTGTAATGCAATGTTGATCTACCTCCTTCTGACAATATGTTGCGGATAAAACATAATAGCTTCCTTCTTGAACTTAAAAAGCATTTGTAAAGTCTTAAAGTTGAATCGTTACTTCATTGTCTAGACCTTAACACAATTGCATTAGCGCAACTGTTGCTTTTCAGGATACAGCCTCAGATACTTTTCCTTTATTTTCATTATTTTACAGTATTCTGAAGTGATAAATTAATACTATTCACTGTAAAGCATAAGTTTGAAAGGACTTCTCCAAGAAGAAGGATACCTGAAAAAGAAGTGCAAACTCCACGATTTATTCTCAAATTGTTTGCTAATTCTTAGAAAGAAATAAAGAACAGTATACAAATAACCAGTAAGTGAAGAAAAATTTAACATCGCCAATCAAAACATAACTTGCCCGAAATGTTTTGGATTATCTTTTTCTTCTTTTCATATTCAAAATCATCAAAGGAACATGATAGTGATATACTAATCCAATTAAACTACAGTCTAAACAACTTAACGTCATAGTCAACATAACACATTAAAATGTTTACCTCTTGCACGAGTGACATCATCAGTGGTAGTCAAATACATATCCATCTCTCTAACCTACATATATTTTTAAAAAAATGACAAAGTAAAAGACAAACACCAGGAAACTATACACACAAAGAAAATCACCAAAAAGAAGAAAATAACTCAGCGTAAACAAAACGACTGTATGTAAACCATACCAGTTTTTCTATAGTCAACACATTATTCTTCAACAAGGAAACAACTGCATCCAAACTTGCAGCCTGTAATCAACACACAGTACAATTATACACTCAAATTCATCATAGCTATAAACATCCACAAGTATGATTAATAAAGATCATTTTAAAAAAAAAATGCATTATATTAAACACAGTGATTAACAAATAAATCCATAATTTAGGTTGAAACTCGACTATTTCTTACATATGTACAGATAATTAAAGTTATAATTAAATAATTTAAATTCAAGTTCTGTTTTTCTATACACACACAGACATAATTAACTCACAGATTAATCTAAAAAAAATTAAAAGTAAAAATCAGTTTGCTACAGATTTTACTTGAAGTTACATATTCTAGGTTCAAGTTTTAACTTTTCAATTTTTCATAATCTTTCAACACAATTCTACTTTATAAAAAAATACAAAAAATTCACAAAACCTAGAAATTGAAAAAGAATATATAAGAGCAAGAGTTGTCGGTTAAGAACCTGGTGAGCGGAAGAGCTGGACAAGTTAACGAATGAATCAATGTGCTGACTCAGATGACTCGGTTGTGCCGTTGGATTTGGTGAAAGACTGAGTAATGAGTTAGGGTTTTAGGAGGGGAGAGAGGGCTTTGTGAGTTCTTAAGAGAACCAAGTCGAAGTGAGTTTTAGTCTTGTTGAAGAAAAGTGGAAACTAAAAACAGATGGAATTTTTCCAATTTACAAATTGACCCCAATAGTTTAGTTATTACTAAACGGCTCGTAATGTTTGCGCTTCCCTCTTTTCCACGTTTTGAGCTACGGTTTTTAGTTTTTACACATTTTTTCTGGTGTTTTTGGCAAAAATAGTCATGTTAATATATATAATTGACATGTGTTTAACTTTTATGGGTGAGCACGGATAGCAGGCAGAACCAAAACTTGTGCATAGAATTGTAACCGGAATCAGAATCTACCCAAAACTGACACTGTGTGGGTAGGTTCCGATTCTATTTTTTTTTTTAACCAACATTGTATGGTTCCAGTTTCGATTTCTATATGTAGAGAAATCCGAACCTAGGAAAAGAACCTGAAGCGGGTATCTGATTTGAAACCTGCTTGGAACTGAGGGTAGGTACCCAGTTTGGAACTTGCTTGGAACTGAGGGTATGTACCTGATTTGGAACCTGCTTGGAACCAAGGGCGGGTACCCGAATTGAAACCTATTTTGGACCTGGGTTGAAACGAAATATCTGTGAAGAATGTGGGGTCTACTAATTTTACATATAAAAAATTAAAATGGAAAAAATTAAATTTTTACAATAACCTAACTAAATATATATACAATTATATATATAAACTATAATATATAAAAACTTTGATATATTATAATAATCTAATCAAATATATATACAAATACATAGTAATATACTAATATATATATTTATTAAAAAATTTAAATATAAAAAACTTTAACATATTATAATATTAAAGTTTTGATTAATTAAGTATATAATTGGAATTAGGATCCAATTAAAAGTATTTTAATGTTATTAAAAAAATTAGTTTTGAATAAAATAGTATATTTGATTGAATAATAATATAATATTTAGTTATTTATTTCAGTTATCAAGTTCTAAGTATATTTATAGTTAATTAGTAATTAATTAATTATATATGATAAATTGATAAACATTAATATATTACTAGTTAAATGATTACTTAATTAATTATAACATTACATTATAAAAAAATTGATTACTTAATTAAATGATTATAAATTTAATTTATTATAATATTACATTATAGATTTATAATATGATTATTTAATTAATTATAACATTACATAATAGTATGATCACTTAATTAATTATAGCATTACATAATTAAATGATTATTTAATTAATTATGACATTATATTATAAATATTAGTAATTTACTACATTAGTACAATACTTAATTAAATGATTAAAAATTTAATTAATTATAACATTACATTATAGTATGATCACTTAATTAATTATAACATTAGTAATTTACTACATTAGTAAATTACTTAATTAAATGATTAAAAATTTAATCAATTATAACATTACATTACAGATTTATAGTATGATTACTTAATTAATTATAACATTATATTATAAACATTAATACAATACTTGTTAAATGATTTGAAATTTAGTATGATATTTATGAGTCACATGGGATACAAATGAACGAGTAATCAAAAATTTAAAATTACTAAATGTAGGTTTTCTTAATTTTTTAGGGGTGTATTTGTAAACTTTTAAGGTATTTTTATCATTTTTTAAATTAATAGGGGGTTATTATTTTTTACAGGGTACCCGAGTAAGGAATCGAAACCTGCATTTCAAGGAATCGGAACCTGCATTTCAGGTTTAGGTTTCTTGAATTTAAGAACCGGAACTGACAGGTCTTGGTTCCAGTTTCCCTAAAAATTGCAAGGTACTCGGAACCACTCACCCCTAACTTTTATTAACATGTGCTAGATTCATCTCATGATCAGTTGATTCTATACAAATTTGTGGCATAAAAGACTCCATTTGGGGTTTGGGCATACTGTCTAGTGCACTGTTTTAAAATTCGGCCCGACCGGTTGAACTAGGACCCTGAGCCTTCACCGGGTCAAATTACAAAATTTTCTATTTATTCAAAACCCTAGAAATTAGGACATCAATCCGTAAACAACTGAAAGCTGGAATGTTAAGGTTTTTAAAGAGAAACTGCCAATGAGTGCAATGGTGGCAACGACATTGATTTCTGGTGAGTGAATCGACATCTAATCGCAAACAAAGTCACCAGAAAAATCATGCTGTCGCTGATGGTTGGAGAGGCAAACGAGGTAGGGGTGAGATGGGTTTTGGTCAAGAGGTTGAGAGGAGTGTTTTCGTGGTGATAGGGAGTGTTGTCGTTGCCAAAAACAAGTCCTATTTGTCGACATCAATGATAATGTTTGGGGTATTTTTGCAAGATTTCAAACTTATAGAAACTTACAGTAATTTCCAAGGGCATTTTATTAGATTTCAAACTTTTAGATACTGATTTAACCCACCAGTCAACCCGAGACCCAACCGCTTTGTCGGATTTCACCCCGGGTTGGGTTTTAAGACATTGCTCTAGTGCACACGATAAAAATCCTATTGTAAGGTTATAAAGTGAATTTCAAAGCAGAAGCAGCAGCCTGCAAGGCTTAAAGGAAAATTAATTTTGGAAACCCAAAAAATACATGTATTTAAGATGGTACTATTGTTGTATCACTTCAAGAGACAATTTTCCGCTGAGCCACTTGACACTTTCAAAACACACAACAGAACGCCACCGTTTTGAACATAAAAAAAACTGTTATCTGAGACTCTTGATCACTGAACTTTCTTCATCACAAGAAGCCTCTTCTAACATGTCAAGAAATCCTTTCCTAGCAGTCCTTTGCAATGCAGAGGCATTGTAACTAATCTCAATACTCGATGCTGCCTCAAACCTCGTCCACAACTCTTTCTTTAGAGTACTCTCACCAGGACGCTTGCCGATTCTCCTTGTGCTCTCTGGTTCCTTCCACAGGGGAGTGCTTTCTACTATTGCTGCATTGCCTCGAATCATTTCTGCAAAAAAAAAGGATAAGCATTTGAATAAAATTATGTTTAGTATAAACGCTCGCGGCATTACAAACCAATGCATGTATATCATAAAGAAAAGTAAAATCATATAACAAAAGTAATACCTGGGTGGAACGATTTCTTGGTTTGCTGAGAGGGTTTTTGAATATCATTTTCTTTTAATACAGAGAGATTTTGCTGATTTAAATCACAAGAAGTGATTGGCATGGTGTGAACGTCAGCAACATTTTCCAATGATTTTTCATCAGGTGGCTCCAACAAAACACAACTTTTAGGAGGGGAGAATGACCAGTCTGGTGATGTTTCCAACTCTTTCTTCTGAATTACTGATTTACGAGCCTGCTGTATTCCTAGCAGTTCTGGGTACTTAAATGCCAGGTCCTCAGAAGCTTCACTACCGGAGGACTCAGAAGATTCTGAGCCTTGGCAATTATGAATTCCAACTGGAAATGGAGTGGACTTACGAACTTTGTCAAAGGGTCGATGAGTGGACTCAGAAATAGGCTCAAGCAACACACAAGATTTAGGAGGGGACATTTTTAAACATGGAGTTATCATAAACATGGAGTGTTCTCCTTTTGAAACCATTGGTGAAGCAAAAAATGCAGACTCTAGAGTGTTTCCGTTTCCAGGCACTAGAGATTCCGAAGGCTTCCTTGGAGTTGGTTTTATTGGCACTCCTTCCAGCAAATCATCGTTTGCATCTCCCAAAATAGTTGAAAATCGTGGTAGCTCTATTGTATGATTGGAGGCAATCCTTTCAAATTGTGATTTGGAAGTGTCCTGATGTTTGGACGACAGAGATTTCGAAATAGGGAGAGGTGTGAGCAAAAACAGTTGTCTATTTCTTTCAATAGTGCAATTGACTCGCCAGGATACAAGGGGAGAAGGAGAGATTAAAGTGTCTTCCTTGTCTTCTTCTGGACTCCCAAATTCACAAGTTTTTTCATCTTCATCTGCAGCAGAAGCAGTTTTACTTGCTAAAGTCTGCGCCAATTGATTCTCAGACTCAGCAGGACTGGAGAGAGCCTTCTGGAATCTGGGAACCCATGGCTGCGATGATACAACATGATATTTCAAAGCAGTTTAGAAACAGAACATATGGAACCAAAAACATATTGATCCACCCACCCACCCACAAGACACAGAGAAATATAGGAAGTAACCTTCAAAGTAGAACTCATATCAGACAAGACATGAGTGAAAGATTCAATTTCTTTTTTCCCCTCTTTGCTCATTGTCTTAACTTTAAATGCTTGCACAACCAGTTCATCAATCTGCTATTCATCGCATAAATTATTGCACGATTAGTAACAGCTCAAGGAATTTATTAACAATAAACCATGTCTATTTTAGAAGAAAAGAAAAGGAAAATATATGTACATTGGATATTATTAAAACTTAAAGCCTAAGCTTAAGCGTTGTAACAAAAGGAACTTCAAACCATGTAAAATTGGCACAATTTGTTCACAGATTACTGAAAAAACTTGTGTGCGAATGCAACAGAAAAAAGCTTACACTTTCCTTCCTTCATCGGAATTCATTCTCAACAATGAACTGTTTTTCAAATTCAATACGGCTAAAATTCCTCACACGTGAAAAAGCAGCAGAAAAACATGTAGATTTACAATATGCTTATCTACATCAAAACAACAGAATGTACACAGTAGTACAAGATCCAAATTTAAGCTCACCACTTGGATTGCGTTTGGCGACACAGAATTTAGCCAAATAACTAGAAATAAACAAAATCAGAGACCTTCTTACTAAGATCATCAAATATTAATATTTCGATCTCCACTCAATTTCATTTCCATATTACCAAACGCGCCCAATAAGAGTTTCAAAAACTTCCAATACAAAATAATAATAATAAAATTAAAAAAATCCCGAAAAATTCCAAATGAATGTCCTACAACTAAACACTACGTTACTCATATCAACCGTACCACTCAAATTATATTAAAAAAAAATTTAAAAAGGAAGTTATAAGAAATAATTATGAGGCTCTGGTAGTTAAACCT